AGGACCCCTCGTTCCTTACTGCCCTCCTGCAGTGGAGGCAGGAGAGGCTCCCACCACGCCACTGCGCTCACCAGCCGTGAGCCTGGCTTCTGGCTGAGCAGTGCTCCCCCACCATGGGAGCGCACTGACCACCAGGTGTTGAGCATCTGCCCCCTGGTGGTCAGTGTGTGTCATATCAACTGGTTGTTCCGCCATTTGGTCGATTTGCATATTAGGGTTTTATTACATAGGATTTTGTAAGGACTTGCTTTCTGAGATTAGGAAATCAGGGAGAACGTTTGGTGCACTGAGTGAGTTAACGATGCTTTGCACATGATGTGAAATATGTATGCCTAATTCAATAATAGCTCAGGATGTGCTGTGAATGAGCGTTCAGCTGCCCAAATAGTATAGACCTCAAACATCTCGAGTGGCTAGATCACAGAACCCTCCACATAGATTATAAATAGAATTGGAGACGCCACTCCTGTCCGGACCACAAGGACTCAACAGCTGGCGGAGGAGGCATCCATCCCACCCTGGACGCAGGGCTCCAAATGGGGCGTGGTTGGAGCCAGCGGCCTCCCTTGTTCTGTCCGCACACACTTTGCTCTTGGCTTGGAGATTCCTGGGGTGGGCTTGGTGAAAGGAATCCCACCCATGGGAGCTGGGGGAAATAGCCACACTTGACTCTCCACCCTGGACTTTGAAAAGAGATCACTATTTTATTTTAATTAAAAATAAGCAAAAGCCTTGGATGCGGGCTTTCAGTCAGATACAAATAAGAGAATTAGCACATAAGAGACGTCGTGGCCCAGGGCCTCTCACCAGCTGTTGGCCCCTTTGCAGGAGCCTTTCTTGGGCTCCTGTGTCCCTGTGAGCAAGGTCCAAGGTCAGCAGGAAACAGCAGGGACCAGCCTTTGAACTGGAATTCAGGGCTCCTGTCCTGTCAGCACCGGGGCTCACTGAACCTGGGACATGTGCCACCTGTTCAGGGCCCTGCGAGTTCTGCATCTGCTCCAGCCCATCACTGTGTGTTCCCTCAACACCTCCAGAGGCCACTGGTGAGCGGGGCAGAGGCTCGTACACCCTTTGAGTGGCCGGGAATGGGTGAGGTGCTGCCCACCTCCATTACAGAATTGTCCTACAGTGAAGCAAATCCCTGAGTCAATTTGCAAGAGGAAGGAAGTTTGCTGCCGCAGTCTAGTTGTGTTCGGACGAAGAGATCCAAGGGTGAAAGTATCATGCCACCCCTGGACTCTAAGATTGCTGCCCAACCCAGGCAGGATTCAGGTAACAGTTTTGTGGGAATACAGTTCAGCAGCTGAGGTGTCTCCCTCTTTGTCCTCATCTAGAGCTGAGCTGGGTCCCAGGCCAGGTAAGACCTCGTGAGTCAGGGATCATTCCCACTGAAGGGCTAAGCGGGCTGTTCGTCCCCCGCCGTGCCCCAGACAGGGCAGCCTTCCCAGACAGGCTCCCAGACCCAGCCCCCCTGTCCTCACCACCCTGTCGGGGGTCGGAAGAGAAGCACCGTCTTCTCCCACCCTGTACCCCTCCGACTCAAGGCCCTTCTTAACCCCTCTCCTCAAAAGTGACTCTGTGACGGGCTAATTGGCTGGGAGTCTCCACTTACGTCTGGGCCGAGACAGGAATGCTGGAAGCGGGGAGCTATCTGTAAGGCATTGTGCTCTCACAGAGATGTTCTGTAAAGGAGCTGGGCCCTGCCTGACCCTTTCATTGAACTGGCAGGCGGGGTGACCCCACTTCCTGCCCCAGGCGTCTGACATTGGAGCAGCCAGGCGCACACACAGTGAAGGAGGCACGCGGGGGATAGGACTCACTTTTGTCACCTTCAAGCACCTCCGTGTCCGTCTGAACCAGTGGCCGCAGCAGAACTCTTCCACAAAATTAAACACGTTGGACAGGGACCTTGAAAAAACACTGTCAGCACAAAATGCAAAATTGCCCTGCCCTTGAGTGAGAATGTCGCTGCGGGAAGGGTGAAACGTGACACATTGTCCAGAGCCCATTGTCCCAGAGGCACCATGTGACGAACTCCAGGTCCTGGGCCTTAATCCCAGGTGGGAAACGTTTTTCATTATCTTCAGCTTTCTGCGGAGCGGCCACTGGATGCATTCCATGTGGATGCTTTAGAGATCATCCCTTTGTATGCGCAGACCTTCATGCAGTTTCCACAGAGCAGCCCCATTTTTCAAACCTAAAATGGGGCACTTGATCTGAGGTGCAATAGTAGAGTCAATTCTGCTCCAGAAAGTTCACAAATGTTGGTTGCCACCACCTGGCTGCAGGGTCACGCCTCGCAGCAGTCAGCAGTCTGGGTCTCTGTACCCCATGCGGCCTGCCACCCATCAGACATTCTGGAACCAGCCTATGTGCAAGCCAGAAAGGACTTTGCCGGATTAGATTCCAAATGATGCTCTGGGAAGCCATTCTCTCCTTCTCCTCTTGCTACATTTGTTCAACACGTTGTTCTTTGAGCTCCTTCCATGGGAGCCGATGAGCTGGGCCCTGGAAGTAGGGCATCTGTGAGTTGTGGGCATAGTGGGTGCTGATAGGATGCTGGAGGCCCCGTCCAGGCTAGGAACCTCCCTGAGGAGTGACATCTTGGCCTGCAGTTGAGTGAGATTAGACAGGCGAACAGAGGTGAAAAAAGCATCACAGAGGGGACAGCTTGTGCAAAGGCCCTGAGGCTGGAGGGGCCTTGGTCCATTTCAGAAAATCTAAGAATATGAGGGTGGGCATCACCTGAAGAAGAAGAAGGTAGGTGAGTAGGCCCCCTAGACGTCCCTCAATGGAACCAAATTCACAGGAACAGTGGTCCAGCCACTGAGACTGACACTGTCACAGAAAGTACGGGAGGGTCAGTAATACCAGCTCTGTCTCCAGTGCCTGGGAAAGCCGTCTGCCATCAGGGTGAGCTGGGCAGAGAACAGACAGCCCGGGGTGTCCATAGGGAGCTTCGGACTGTGAGAGTTTGCTGGCGAGAGGAAGTGCTACCGCGAAGCCTCGGCCATTCAGAATCAAGCTAAGAGTTACTGTAGACATGTCCACCATCAGAGGCCTTGACATGCACAGCTTTTTCTCTTCGTGAGTTGGTGAAGCCTGGAAGTTGAGTGCCGGCGGGAGATTTCAGGATCCAGGGCAAGGTCACTTTGATGCTTGTCACTGATGCTGGGTCCCCAATTGGTAAAGGACTGGCCAGCTCAGTGTCCGCACTATTTCCCGCGGCCCCCCGGGACGTCTCCAGGCTTCAGGGAGACCCTGAGTTCCCAGTGGCATGCTCCTCCCAGGGCTGCAGAGGTGGAATGGGAGGAAAAGGAGCACACGTTTCGTGTGGATATTCCTTCCTGTGGAGAGAAGAAAACAGCAATGCAAAAGCTAGACTTCTAGGCTGCCGCGTGAACCGCACCTAACTCATGCCAAATAAATGAGGCGTAGACAGTCTTAAGTCACCTCATCTGGAATTAAAGATAGATACTCCAAGCTCTCTTGGAGCAATTGTTTTCAACCCTGTTTTTCTCCCTCAAAAGAAAGCCATTGCTGAGACATCGAAGTGCACACTGGGAAATGCCATCGGTGCCACCGAGCCATCCAGGGGAGGCCCAGCGCAGTTCCCGACGTTTGGGGTTTACTGTTGTTCCTTTCCTCACCCCGAGTGCCGCCACCGCCACTCCGTGGGGCCCTGGCAGGCCCAGTCACCCTCGCCCTCGTCACTTCCTCCTCCACCCGGGCAGTCGAGGGGCAGCCCATGGTGGCGGTTGGCAGTTCCACAAATGACACAGCCAGGATCTTCGGGACCCGCCTCTGCTTTCGCGTGTCGCCTGTTTCCACTTGCTTGTTTGCAAGACCAGAAGAACAGGATTTAAGGCTGATCTGTGCAGATAGCATTTTGCTTCCTCCCCTGGAATTTTCAGGGTAAAAGATCTCCATGAACCATCTCTCCAGGCTGTTCGTGGCCCGGGTCTCAAACTGGGTGCAGAAGGATTGACCTCTTAGGCCATTGGCAAGGCATCGCCGTGAGTCCCGAGTCTCTTTAGACAAAACGATGTGTTAACGTTCAAGACTGCAGGCTTGACTGGACAGCTGGGGTCTGCGACATGAGACATTGGCTATAAACACATGCTAGCTGGCCTGGCGTTGGCTGGGAAACGCAGAGGACACGGAGCATACCCAACACTGGAGTCCACCTGCAACTCACACCCCAGCATCACACGCCAGGCAGTGACCTCACATCTTCAGTCAGGGCCTAGGTTTTCCCCTAGAGTCTTGCGAAACCGTTGATGGCACCGGGGCGTGGCTGGAGGTGCTGCCAGTTCACTCCCAAACCCCTGATCTAGAACTTGCAGCCTGCAGCCTGCTGAGCTGTTTTTCCTCTCAGCACCAGGCTGGGGGACTTGGCTCAGCACCCTCCTCAGTGTCATTGTCAGGGTGGTGAGGCCCCACGCGTGTGTGTGTGTGTGTGTGTGTTTGCAGGCTGCGGACCCACGACAGGGGCCAGGTTTCCTCTCTGATTAGCAAGTCCTTGCATAGGCAACAGGTAAGGGCCCCAGGGGTTGCCTGGATCGCTTCCAGAACATGGGTGGAGATTCCCAGAACAAAGCCTGTCTGTTTTCAGTGCTGCTCATTGACTACTGGCCGTAGGAGTCAGCCCTCCAGCTCCCAGCCCTTCCCCTTTCCTGGTGTCTCCCCTTCTTGCCTGCATGTCCCTCTCCGTCCCCCTCTCCCCGCCCTCCCTCCTCTCTCTCTGCCTTTCTCTGTGCCTCTGACACACACCACAGTTTAAATATTGATGAATCCCTCAGCACATCGCTTTTTGTGCTCTGAGAAACAAAGGTTTCTGCGTATTGGAAACTGACTTTTTTTTTCCAAGCACGTGACCGCCAGCCCCTTGGTTGTCTGCTGATGTGCGAGGCCGTGTGGGGGCTGACCCAGACTTGTGGCTCGTGCGGCAGTGTTTCCACCGAGTGACAGGTGTGTCCGTCTGTCTGCTCTCCCCGCAGATGAAATCATGCACCAGGACATCACCCCGCTCTGTGCTGCCGACATCCAGGACCAGCTGAAGAAGCGCTTTGCTTACCTGTCGGGTGAGTGCCGGCCGCCGGGGAGCGTGGGGGCCGGTGTCTGCATGGCGGGTGGTTGGCCGCCCCTGGTTCTGGTTCTCCATGACCTAGTTGGTCCTGTTCCACGTGGTGGGAACTGGGGACAGGCCACTGGATGCAGCCTGCTCTCGGCATAACCAAGGGCCCGGGCGAGGCTGTCGCGATGCCTGTGAAGAGGGCAGCAGCCAGGGGAAGAGCCGGCCGCGGGTCAGCTGGGTCCTGAGAGGGACACAGCCCCAAGCGCTGCTGGCTGAAGTCCCCTGGAATCCAGAACTTTCCTGCAGCAGGTAAAGTAGGCAGTAGGAGGGTCATTAGGACCCAGCCTGATTGGAATGTTGTGCAGCATTTACAATAGCAGTCACATCATTTATAAAGCCCAGAAAACTGTCGTTCACAATGTTAGGAAAGAAGCAGGTCGCCAGCTTTATATTCAACACAGTCTCAATTGTGTAGAAAAATGCACCAAAAAAGGTTTGGAATTAAATGTGCCCCATGCTATGGTGGCTGCCCATAGCGGCAAAATATTAGCAGATTGTTTTAATCCAGCTCACTTTTTTGTATATTCCAAATATTTTCCTTCAATATGCATGAATTTATTCATAATAAAAAATATGTTGACCCTGACTGGGTGGTTCAGTTTGCTGGAGCATCTCATCTTCCTGTACACCAAAAGGTTGTGGGGTTCAATTCCCAATTGGGGCATGTAGGGGAGGCAACCAATCTGTTTCCCTCGTGTTGATGTTTCTCTTTCTCTCTTTCTCCCTTCCTCTCTCTCTAAAAATTAGTAAAAGCATATCCTTGGGTGAGGAATATATATATATGATATTGAAGAACATGCTCTCAATTTTTTAAATATATTTTTATTGATTTGAGAGGAAGAGAGATAGAAACATCAATGATGAGAGAGAATCTTTAATTGGCTGCCTCCTGCTCACCCCACACTGGAGATGGAGCCTGCAACCTGGGCATGTGCCCTGACTGGGAATCAAATCCTGACCTGGTTCCTAGGTGGACACTGAACCACTGAGCCACGCCGGCCGGGCGATGCTCTCAATTTTAAGTGAAATATTCCGTGCTTGTGAAAGATCAGCCATGTTCTCTTGACGATGTGGCACCGATGCCCAGTTAAGTGCTGCCTTTGCTGTCTCCCCAGGTGGGCGGGGGCAGGACGGGAGCCCCGTCATCACCTTCCCGGACTACCCGGCCTTCAGCGAAGTGCCCGACAAGGAGTTCCAGAATGTCATGACCTATCTCACCAGCATCCCCAGGTGCGTGTCACTACCCCCTCCCCGCCCTCAAGGCCTTTGTCAGACAAGGAGACTGTGGCGGAGGGGCGTTCAGGAGCCTGCCCAAAGTTACCCATCGGCAGGCAACCAAGGGGCTGAGCCGTGAGAGATGCCGGATCAGAATCCAGCTGTCCCGGCTCCCGGGCTGGCATCCTTCCCCTCACCTGTGGGAGGCGTCCGGCCGCAGCCTGCACCTCCTGGGGTCCGGCCGCGCCCAGGAACCTTTCCTCCCTCATGTCAGTGTCCAGCCGCTTCATTAGATGAGCAAGACCATGCTGGGGACGGTCTTCCTCTGGGGAGGGGGCCGCGTGCACTGACGAGGTGGTTGTAAGACCCAGGCCGGGACCTGGCCCAGAGGTGGTGGGAGGTCATGGGCGCTCTGACACAGGAGCCCTGCCCCTGTTAGGGATGCAGTGAGCGGCCTTGCATTTCCTCTGGGGAGGGGGCCGCGTGCACTGACGAGGTGGCTGTGAGACCCAGGCCGGGGCCTGGCCCAGAGGTGGTGGGAGGTCACGGGCGCTCTGACACAGAGCCCTGCCTCTGTTCGGGATGCAGTGAGCGGCCTTGCACGAGACCTTTCTTCCTCCTGTTACACACGTGCGGGGAGGGGTAGGTAGCGTGGGGGGACCTTGTGCGTACGGAAGCTCCGTGTCACAGGCGCCAGGGTGCTCTCCTCACGCCTCACCCTCCGCAAGGACACATTCCCGAATCTGGGTGATGTGAGCTCCGTGAAGGAGTCTAGTCCAGAAAACAGACCAAAGCAGCGAGTCGGATCAACTGATGCGTGACCTGCAAACACCACCCACCAGTAGCGACCGATCACCGCCAGCCAGTGCTGGGGCGGTGGGCGATGCGTAGAGTATTCCAGCAACCTGGCCGGGGTGGAGGAAGGGAGGCCGGGTATGTTGGGGGAGGCTCTGGACAGACGTGGGTGGTGAGTGACCCGTGACAGGAAAAGAGCGGGCAGTGCGCCCCCTGGCTCAGCGGGGTGGGGTCTGCAGTCACCGTCTCTGTTGTCCTTCCCTTGTCATACCCGCCTCAGTGTGTGAGGCTCCAGGTGGCCGAGCTGAGGCAGGAGGGATGGCTGGCACCCTGGGAGGCCCTCTGGCCAGCTGTTCCCCCTCCAGAGGTTTGAAGGTGTGACTACCATACCACAAAGCATCTCCATCTATTGTCTCCCTTGACCCTCAGAACTACAGAGGCAAGACGGCAGTTGTCTTGCCCATTCTATACATGAGGCCGCTGGACCTCAGAGAATGAGGTCCCTAAAGTAAGATCACGCCTGGAAGATTCAGACTCCCCGTGTGCTGTGAGGCAGGGGTGCCCTTAGGGTGGGGACCCGGGACGATGCTCCCGCGCTCTGCGCCCAGCAGCAGGATGCTTAAATGCTGCGTGACCCGCTGGCCGTGGGGACTCGCCGGGACTGACCCCCAAGAGGAAAGGGGCGGCAATTTGAGTCTGAAACGATGAGCCCAGCAGTGGCTTCCGGGAAGAACACGTTCTAATGATTTGAAAGGAAAGGGGGACGGCTTTGGGTGGGGGGAGGGCAGTCTCGTTGGTCTTCCGGGGCGTGGGCTTCTGCCCCAGCTGCTGGAGCCTCCCCTGCAGGGACAGTCTCCCAGGGGTGGCGGGTAGTTGTACGTCCAGGAGAGGCTGCGGCCCTCATCCCTCCCTCCCCGATGGCCCCTCGGCCCCAGGCCTCTCTCTGGAGCCCGGCAGAGGTGGGAGCTCGTCAGAGCTGATGGACACTGAATGCTAAGTTTATGACGTCACTTCTCAGATGGCAAAGCTGTTCTGGGTCCGTACACCTTGGAGCTATACGCTGGGCATCTCCTCCCCTTTATTGAACCTCCATCTGCTCGTTTCCGTTTTAGAAAACCGTAGAGTTAGTTGTTCAGATGCCCGCTGCACTGTTGCTGGCTTGTAACTGGATAGAACCTGAGGAATTCCGAGGCTCCGTTCCCAGGGGAAATGGTATGCATTGGGCCTTTGTGTGTGCTATGTTTTATTCACATTTCTCCCCTGTCGAGGTTGATAAAAATCCCAAGTGCTGGAGTGATGGATCTGAGCCTGTCACACCCAATGCGCCCTTCTCATCCAGAAATAAAGCTCCTACTAAACAGAAAGACGGTGCAGCACCCTAACTAGCAAGAAGGACCGACAGGGACAAGAAATCAGGTGTCACATGTGTAGCAGGCTGCACGGGACTCATGAGGTCAGGTGGGCGCCCGCACCGTGTGTACCGAGTCCATCAGCCCCCAGGGTGCTATGTCCGGCACGGCACCTCGAGGGGGTGCGATTGAAGATATCCTCTCTGGTTTAGGCATGAGCTCACAGGGACATCCCCACGGCGTGGTCACCCCGTTGGCTGGACGCCAGCTGATACAGACGCTTTGTGGTATGGAAGAGGGAATAGTTTTCGGTGAAGCGCTACAGAACACGATAGAGCAGTCTCCCACAGTTCACACAGCAGCTGCGTTCCTAGGGAATGTGTGTCCATTAAAAATGTGTGTCTATAGGTTTGCAAGAGTCCCAGCTTCCCTGTCTTCAGGATGAGGGACCAGCTTGGTGCCAGGAAAGATAGTGACAACTGAGAGACACGTCCAGAGGCATCTGAAGTGGCCCCAGGATGCACCCCATTGAGCACCCCTGTGTGGGGCAATGCCTCCTTCTCCTGTGAGAATTTGGGGGAAATCATCTCCCCACAATAGCCTCCCCGGTTACAGAAGGAAGGGCGTGCTGCCACCTCATGGACACAGCCAGCATTGCAGTCAGTCCCCTGGAATGTCTATCCTAAACCCATTGGAATGAGGAGCTGGGCAGGTGTTTCTAGAAAAGAAGGAAAAACTCCTCACACAGGCAAGTCATTGGCACAGGAGTTACTCCAAACTGCTGCTGAGCCAGCACAGCCTCTAAGTCAGTAGTTCTCAACCTTGGCTGCACATTAGAATCACCTGGGAATCTTTTTAAAATCCTGATTTCTGGGCCTCATCCTCCGGAAATTCTGTTTCTTTGTTGTGGGGTGGGGCCACAACATTAGTAACAAAGAAACAGAATTTCCTGAGGATGGGGCCCAGAAATCAGGATTTTAGAAAGATTCCCAGGTGATTCTAATGTGCAGCCAAGGTTGAGAACCACTGCTCTAAGTGGAAAGAGCACAATTGAGAGCCAGGTGTGCGCTTTCAAATGCCAATGCACATTAAAGGGACCAATCCCATGCAGACTGCTCTAAGACACACTACCTCAGCAGTTCCCAACCTGTGGGTCGCAACCCCTTTGGGGGTCGAACGACCCTTTCACAGGGGTCACCTAAGACCATCCTGCATATCAGATATTTACATTACGACTCATAACAGTAGCAACATTACAGTTATGAAGTAGCAACGAAAATAATTTTATGGTTGGGTCACAACATGAGGAACTGTATTTAAAGGGCCAGAAGGTTGAGAACCACTGCACTTCCTCCTACCATTGTTCACCAAGCATTAATTGTATCCTTCCAGGAAATATGTGATGTGCTGACTTTAGCTCTTCTTCTGTTATTAGTGCAAACGACAGGAGCCCCCGTTTTAGCCATTCCATTTGACGAATAGTTATTGATCATTGTGAACTGTGACACTGAAACAGGCGGGCTTCCTCCAGCTCTATCAGATGTACGTGAAGATGAGGCAAGTTACTGTCCTTTGGAAACGACTCAGTAAAGGGGATGTGGGAGGACTTTATGATTTACTGGCAAGTGTGTCAGCTGGCGTCCAGCCAATGGGGTGACCATGCTGAGGGGATGTCCCTGTGAGCTCATGCCTTGGCTAGAGGGCTGCGTTTCACCACTCAGAGGCCTACCACCCTTGCACATCCTAATGGGGTTTGTTTGCCCTCATCTGCCAGGCCTGGGTGGGGCATCCCCAGGGACTCGAGAGGACAGGTGACAGTGAACCACATGCCCAACCCTGGAGAGCGGGCCTGTGACCTCCCTACAGACAGTCGCACAACAGAGAAAGGCACAGGGGGTGCTCTGACTGGTTCCCCCATATCTGTCTGTTGTGTGCTGGGCAACGTGGACCTAACAGTGAACCAAATAGACAAAATCCTGCTGCTCACATTCTCAATAAATTAACTAAAATGTGTGCAGGGATTAGCGTATAAAAAGGAAGAATGAGAGAGAAGGGAGGTGAGGACCCAGGAGGGGCAGTGAGAAGGGAGCCCCCATGAAAGGGTGACTTAGAGGACTCATGGGGTACAGTCCTCATAAGGGACCCCAGGAGGGGGGCAGAGGGGAGAGAGGAATTTGAGATGGCCTAACTGACGGCTTGGGGGCAGCAGTTGCCCAAGAACAGAAGAAGCATGTAGGAGGGCCATGTGGGTTGAGATCACTTGCATATCCAGGGGGCCTCTCGGGTTGAGGGCTGGTACCTCTGGGTGCCCTGAGGTGAGTCTGGAACTCTGGGGCGAGGTCCCAGCTGGGTGTGGATTTGGGAGTTGTGGGCATTTGGGTGGCGAGGGCCCCAGAACTGGAGTGGTGGGCAGAGGGGGAGCTCCAGGTATTCCAGCTGGGGTAGGAGGTCAGAGGGAAGGAGGAAACACAGTGGGGGAGAGGGGTCAGCCCCAGCTGGGGTCTCAAGCAGGGAAGGCCCACCCCAATCCTGTAGGGCTGTGGGGGGCTCGCACAGGTGAAAAGGGTGCTCGATCGGTGGTCATGCTGCGCCTGCAACTGCTTAAGGCCCCCTTCCCTCTCAAGCGTCCCACTGTGACCGTCCATTACTGGTGGGTGAGAGGGGATGAGAACGAGGGGTCAGTGCGCGTCTCACAGCATGCAAGCCTCTGGGAGCCCTGAGGGTGTCCAGGAACAGCTTTGGTGAAGGGTTTGGAGTAAAATGCTTATTAGAGTAAATTCAACAAAAATGGGAGACAAGGGTCCAAGCCAGAGTAAATTCACAGAAATGCGTGTATGAATGCATCCTAAACAATAAAAAATGTACACATGA